TGACAAAAAAAAATTCAGATTTTTTTTTTTTTTTTTTTTTTTTTAAATCGATTTTAGTTTTTGATTTTCTAAAAATCTTAAACGAAGTCAGATTCCAAAAAACAAAATATAGGAGTGTAGGGTTTTCCAAGCCCTACACCCCATTTTTTTTTACGTATTTTGGGGGAGTATTGAAAAACCAGGCCGCGGACTGGGTCTCATCGGCCACGGCCGAAGCCGAGAATCTTGGCCGCAGCGACCAAAATGCCCGCGGCCTAGGCCGTGGGTGTCACATGGCTAGCAGGTATCACACCCTCTGGTTGGTGCAGCTCCTGCATATTCGCTCGTTGGAGCCTTGAACATGGATGTGGCTGCTACGGGGGCTCCCCATAATAAGGGCACACTCACACTGCGGGTACCAAATCAGCATAATCCCCAAACCCCCGAAGAAATAGTGTCGAGGGATAGTCACACCAGGACCTCATTTCTTCAAGAATTGTCATCAAAACACTCAGTAAACCCAACCATCCCACATTACGCACCAAACTATTTATTTGTGAACCCATTTGTCAGCGGCCTGAGGGGCCGCGGGGGTTGGGCATTTTCGGTAACCTCAGGGGTTACCGCAAATTCCCTATTCTCGTTTGGAACCAACCATCGAAAATGGAAAGAAATTTAAAAAACAAAGACATTGCCAGGAAATGCGATCTCACAGTGTGATTGGAGCAGTCGAAGAGGACCAAAAATCCAGGCGGCCGCAACTTTGTCTGTTGCAACACAGGGAAGCAGTGCGATCGGTCCAGCCACTAAATTCCCAAATCGAGCATCCCATTCTTGCCTAACTCGTGACCTGGTTGGTTTACACTTGTAACCACCTGCAGTCCGAGCTGGCAAATCTCTGACGGGCGGTGCGGAATCACAAGGATCTGCACTAGGATGTTACACGAGCACTAGATTCCCGTGTACAGGACTTGGAGCAAGTAGCACCAAGACCAGATGCTGCCGAGTCCTGCAGTGCACCCTCTACCCCTCAATTGGAGGAACGAGTTGACCACGTAGTCGCAATGCTCGACGACATCAGCACCTTCGCTGCACCAGCGACCATCAGCAAGCAGCTGGACACCTTGAAGACCGAGGTTCAACAACTGCACCATCTTCCCAACAAGGATGGCAACACCAGTGCGCAGCACTACAAGATGTCGACATTCCGCATCGAAACCTTCGATGATTATACGCATCAAGACCCGGTCCCCTGGTGGGAGGGCCTTACGACGGAACTTCGGATTCTTTTTGTCCCCGAGCACTCGTACATCGGCACGTTGTTCCTCAACTCAAAGGGCGGATGCCAGATCTGGCTCAGCCACCTGGCAACCATTCATGGCGTCCAGGTCGTCGATCTACATGAGAAGATTTCTTGGGAAGAGTTGACGAGGCTATGGAAGAAGTGGTTCATTGTAGACGACGCCCCGACGCTCGCCATCAACCGCCTCTTCAGCATGACCCAAGGCAACACATCGACACGCGACTGGCTCACGGAATGGCAAAAGATCGCTGCAACGCCCAATCTCGAGTTGCCATTTTCGCATTTGCGCCAGGAGTTCTACAACCGGTCATGTGCCGCCTTGAGCCTGACACTTGGTGATCACAAGCAATACACGACCTTCGCCGAAATCATCGACAAGGCAAGGGAGATCATCAAGACCAACAGGGCGGCTGCACACGAGAAGTCAGCATGGCAGCCAACCTATGTGGAGAAAGGAAAATTTAGTCCGCGTCCGCAGCATGTCACTGTAGTTCAACCGGACAACATTGTGGAAGACCCGACAGCCACCCAAATATCACGTAAGGGAGATCAGGTGGCCGCTGTCCAGGCGTGAAGCAACAACAACTCCCGAGCAAAAGGGAAGGCGAAAGCCACATCGCCGGCCGGAAACCGACAACCAGCACCATGAGTCAAGTTTCACTTCACTGAGGCCGAATATAAGTGGCGCGGCCGGTATGGCTGCTGCTATTGGTGCAACAGCACCAAGCACAAGACCTCCCAATGCCCGGATCAAGGCAAGGAGGATGTTCGGCCTCGCATCAACTCGGGAAACTGAGTTGCGTGGTGTCGGCGCGAATACCCTTACAAGGGTATCCGTCCTGGGTTTTGCATGCGACAGAAAATAGGCCTGGGTTAGAATTTTAGTATCCCGCGCGAGGCGTGGCTGCGCCTATGTATTCACGATGGCAGGATGGTTGACTAGAATACAGAGTGTGTGGGCGCGCAGACTTGAGGCGCCCGTGATTTTGCTTATTGATGATTGGAGGGCCGGCGTGATCGCCGGTCGGATTCTATCTATTTATTTATTTATTTCTGATTTAAATTAGGATTAATTGATATGGTAACTTTGATTGGTATATCTGACCAAGACACGTCCGCGGGCGTGGAGATCGGCCTCGACAAACGGTGAGAATTCTGCATGATGAACAAGGTGCGCGGCATCGAAGGGGTCGGCGGGGCTGTCCCCCTTGGTTTGCCGTCGATGGCGTCCGATCGGCGGTGGTATTTCCCAAATATTTCGTTTTTCTTGTCCACGTCTTTAGGATGTCGTTGACCTGGACCAACATCGGACTTCATGGCCACCATGACACGGTCATGTATACGACCCACGTTTCGGGGCCGAGGAAGCTGTCGCGGCGGTTGAAGGCTTTGAGCGCGCGCCTCCCCTTATGCACGGGCAGTGGGCACGTAACCCCTCCTCTACCTCGGGTTTCAAAGTTCTCATTCGAATATTTGCTACTACCACCGAGGGTCTGCACCAGGCCCGCGCCATGAGGGACCGCCTCATTTGGACCCAGGGGTAACGGTCTGATGCAGGCCGTGCCTTTGGCTCCGTGGCCTGTTGTGGAGACCTCGGTGTGAGCCTACCTGTTGGAGGCCCGAGGGGGCGGAGCGGACCACAGAGCCACGCAGGGAGTAGCGGAGTAGTGAGCCGGACCAATGTGGGGAGGAAGCCCAGGATGAATCTGGGCGGCGGACTGTGTCACGTACAGTCGGAGTGACTGTGGAGCGGATGGGAGGCGGAGAGTAGGTCGGGTGCTGCAGGGAAAGAACGCTGGTCGGGGAGTACCGCACAGTGCGGATCAAGAACGAAGGGGCTCAGGTAGAAAGGCAGGGCCTGGGTGAAAGACGACAGAGCTGTAGCGGACGCTCGAGCTGGGCAGTAGGGCGGAGTGAATCTGGCGGGGTTACCGCGCCAGATTCGTGCAGTGAAGGAGGAGATGGGAGGATGTGTAGGACGCAACGATGAGAGGTATGGGAGGACGTCGGTGAGAGTGGATACAGGCGGAGGTAGTTCCGGCTGACGGAATGAGCGTCGAGAGTGTGGGAAGGGGGACGAACCCGGAAGGGGGCAGGTGCGGGGTGCAGGCAGCGAAGTGGAGATGGCGGAAGCAGGAGTCGGGCGCAGCGGGGGATGCACTACACTTTCGATCGTGCGTGGAAACGAGTGGGGAAAGGGGCGATCCCGGGGTTTTTGCCCCGGGCGAAGGCAATGGTAAGGTTAGATTTGCGAGGGAGTTAGTGCTTAGGGAGTTGTAATAGAAATGGGCTGCGGGGAGTGATGGCGGAGGAAGAAGCGACGAGGAGAACAAAATGAGATGTCACTCGATTCGTGACAGAATCGAGTGATTCAAAATGCTATCTGGAGGTTTGAGGGTCGGGCGAGCATGATAGAAGTGTTAGTTTTAGAAGTGAGTGAGTAAATTTAGTGTTAGAAAGAAAAGGACCTGCGCCAGGGGGGGGGTCAAAATGATGACGAATCTTTCCGCGTTTCAGCGGAAGATTCGTTCCCGTTTTTCTCCGTTTTCTCTTTTTCGCCTTTTTTTTTTTTTTTTTTTCGTACGTATTCATGCAGGGTACGGTCTCCTGCAGTAAGCAACAGAAAGAAAGAGATAGAGGGAGAGACTAGCATGGTGGATTTGGCGGCGCGGGGGTTGGCACAGGGTTGAGAACTACTTGCAGGAGTAGTGTGAAGTCGGTCGTGCAGGAGAAGCACTTACCTGTTGGTCGGGGCACTTGAACAGTGGAGCGTCCCCGAAGGAGCGAGCAGCAGGTTGGAGAGATACCTATCGGTCGGGGTGTTGCTCGTCACATCGCACGAAGCAGCGTATATTTCCATGTTCTAGCTGAAGATTCATTCGGACTCTGCTCATCCTACCGTAGAGGGAGAGGGAGAGGACCGGGTCCTTATTCGTCAGCAGAGGTGCCGCTCGCCCGTAGATTGAAGGAGCAGCAGTTCGATTGGCGCAGGGGCCACGGAAGGTGGTAGAGGCTAGCAGGTAGCGGGGGAGTCAGGCTGACTGTACCCTCCCCGATTCAGGCGAAAAGTTCGTCTGAATTTGCCCGTCCTATCGGTGGTGGTAGCGTGGAGTTAGCCGAAGAGCCGGAAGCTTGCCTGTGGATCCATTTCCGTTCGTGAATTGTCGTGACCGGAGTACAGCCGTCGTTTTGCCCAGCCTCGTGTCTGCTATCGGAGTCAAAGTCGGGACCCCACTGCTCATTGAGTTGGTGTATCTGGGTTTGGTCCAGCGGAAGGTGTACTGGTTTCTACTCAGTCCTCCAGCAGAAGTAGCGTGGGGATAGCTGTGGGCTTAGAGACCTACCTGTTGGCTAGGCGCGGGTAGGAGATGAGGGAGAAACCGGCCTACCGCAATCAATAGGGACACGTACCTGGTCTTAGTGGAGGACTATAGGGTCAGTGGCTTCACACACTTCGGTTACTACTGCTGACGCCAACGGGGTGCATTGTCAGTTCAGTGGCTGCTACGGCTTGGTGGTGCTGCTGTTACTGTGGGTTACGCCGGGGATTGCTGGATTCCATTGGTACTGCAGCTGAAGGCTGCTTCAGACCTTGCTGGTCCACTGCCGCACCCTCGGTTGTTTAATTATGTCTCTGCTACAGTGGTTGCTACTATAGCGGTTATTGAGCTTGCCGCAAGCTGCGGCGTTGCTTTGGCTGCGGCAACTTGAAGGTCGTATGATTGCAGCTTCTCGCTGGGAAGCAAAGGTGTAGGGTGAGAAAGGTGGGTGAGCTGTAGGAGAAGGCTGCGGGACCGCAGCTTGGAAGAGTAGAGGTGAAGAGGGCTAGTACTGCAGTGTGGGAGTTCGCCAAGAGGGGTCTGTCTCAGCAGTTGACCTCGGACTGACTAAGCCACTGTGCGTTTTTGGCCATTATTGCGGGGCCCTCAGGCGAATCAAGGATTCAAGGCCCTCTCGCGCGAGTCTGAGAGCACCCTTCTTGGATCTGAGAGACTGAAATATTCTACCTTTTGCCTTTCTTAATCTAAGTCTAGTCTGTTGATTACGAGAGGAAGGCGGCAGGCGGGATTGCAACCCGTAATCCGCGCCAAGGCCTCTGTGGGAGGTTTGCCCCACCGATTGCGGGAGCTCTGCCGGAGCCTTGGCGAGGCTCTGGAGGCAGGGAACTGAAAGGTAACCTTTTGCTTTCCCTATATACCCCCTGGTATAACCCCTACCTGTACATCTTGTTATGTTTGACAAAGTATGTTGCGTGCACCCTTCTTTGACTTTGGTTTGACTGATAAGACTTAATTCAGACTAAATAAAGGAATGTATGTGCAATCGCAGTTTCAGTTTGTTGATTGTCTGAACGCAGATTGTGAACACAAAGGGGGTGCATCTGGTGGAAGGTTGGTGGTTTTGCCTGAGGCTGACAGGGTTCTATGGGGTCAGACCAGTTCCTTAAGATTGGACGGTCTGATTGCTCTGAATTATGAGAGTTTGACTGTGGTTGACTTTTCAGGGGCCAAACCTGTACCATAAGATTGGAGGGTCTTGGTTGTCATGTTTGATTCGGGTTTTGGTTTGTTTCTTTTGTTGTTGGTTGAGGAGGTCTGAGCAAGTCCATAATATTGGACGCCTCAGTCCTTTCCTATTTCATTCTGAGGGAGTAATTCTCGCTGAGGGCAGGGCATGTCCATAAGATTGGACGGCCCTGGACTCATGCCGCACACAGTGGATCCCAGAGAAACGAACCTGGCAGAGGACCAGATATGTTCTATAAGATTGGACGGTCTGGCCCAAAGCCTCACACATGTTGGAACCCAAAAGGTTAAATTTTGGCTATATTTTATACTATCCTATTTATGAACAGGCTAGTCAGGCATGGGTTCTATAAGATTGGACGGTCTGGCTATTGCTTATCATGAAATGAAGAGAGTAAAACTAAGAGTATAATTGAAGGTAACCCTGGGTAGGCTGGGCCTTGTTCTAAGATGAATGGTTCAATCCTATGCCCAGCTTTTGAACACTAAGCTCAGAGAGGTATATATAATTTGGATATTAAACAGTTCGGGGCGGTTGAGCCTTGTTCTAAGATGAACAGTTTAGTCATATGCCCAGAAGGAAGAGAGAAGTAGTTGTGCAACCTGTTTCGTGTATACTCAATCACTGAGTCAGGCACGTTCCATAAGATTGGACGACTTGACTTTACACCTTATGTAAGCTGGGTATAAGGGAATAAAGCATCGAGAGATTACGAACTATTGTCTGCCAAGTTGGCATGGGGATGGTGGGAGTACTTACCTTTGTGGTTTGACCTGCATGAGACTGAGTGAGGCTACTACTTGGTTTGAGTGTCAGGTTGACAGGTAGTTGCTTTAAAGGCTCGCCTCGTGCTAGAGCGATAGGAGTTAGTTTCAATTTCTGCATTTTCTGAGCTAAGTTTATTTTACTTGGATCGATTTTCGCATTTTCTGGGATATTTTGTTGTACTTGACTTTGTATAATTTTTGGTAAGCTACTTTCTCTACGGGAAGCGCTGCCGAAATTTCTGCAAATCCAAGGACTTAGTCAAGTTTTGACTTGTCAAATTTCAACTTATCTAAAGTTTATATATGACTTAGTAAAAATCTGGGAAGTCTCATTTTCTAAAAGGAGTGCTGCCCAAATTTTTGCTAATTCAGAGAGTTTGACAAAATTGAACTTTGGAAAGTCAAAGACTATTTTTGGTTTCATATTTGGGCTGATATAAATTCTGAAAAAGCATTTTTCCCACGGGAAGCGCTGCCGAATTTTTCTTGATTTAGAGGAGTTAGATTATATGTTAACAGGTGGCGACTCTGGCGATCCACCCTGAATAGGGGAGATTCTGCCATTGGTCTACCTTTGCTTTGGGCACTGGCTAGAGGTAGGTCTAGGCTTGGTTGGCAGGTAACTCAGTGAGAATGTGCTATGAAGGTTTATCCCTCATATGCTGATGATTTAGCTTGGGCATTTGACCTATCTTGTGTTACAGGTCCTTTGGGGTGTCTGATTCAAGATCAGGACTAGATTCAGCTTGATCCCTCGAGGATCATCTTCTGTTATCACTGATAACAGGTCGGTTGCCGATTTGTCGGTTTACGATTCAACTTCAATTCACTCCTACCACTCAACCTAAAGACTTTAGCCTTGAGATTTGAATTGTTTTGTTGTGATTTTACCCGGACTTTATTGAATGGTCATCCAACAAAAGTACTGAGTAATTATATAAGACTTGCACGGGTGAGGCTTGTATGGCTAAAGCAAGGGGTATGAGTGCGAGGAATGGTTGAAGTTGATCCCGTGTAGTGCGTGGACTTCAGGTTAAACCTTTGATGTGATTGCAGGTATGGTTGTGGTTCGGACTCTGGATGTGATTGTCTGCGATTTCATGCATATATGGCTGAGAGGAGCCTCACTGTGACTGTGAGAAGTGATCGTCCTATATAATCAACCCTTACGTATTTATAAGGGCCCTGAGTATTTTAGAGGCCTACTGTGAGTGTGAATAAGGGTTAACTGGATTATGTCTCGAGAGGGAAGAGAGGTTCCCTTTTTACCCTTGCTTTTTAGAGTTTGTATGGTTGGACGTTGTAGCCCGTGGCAGCCGTCAAAGTCAAACCCCTTGACTTTTGCCCAGGCCCGGAGTAGGACTTACCCCAGGGGCCGAAAGAAACAACTGCCACCACAGTTATGGACCTGTGTACCACTCACTGTGCACAGAGTGCAGAAGAGGTTGTGTGGTCTTCAACCGCCCATGGCGGTTATCCAGCGTCGAGAGATTAACCCTCAGGGCGCGTGTCAGCCGACACTTGAGTGTCGAATGTGACCCTCGAGATTAACGAGGACTGCGTGAGTATGGGCACTACATAGTACGTCATCACTGCGACAACTTGCGTACGCTTGCATTGCGAGTCGATATGAGTAGACCTTGCGCTTGCGCGGTTTTGTACTAAGTCTTGCGCGCGACACCTATCCGCTTTCCGCAGGGGAAAGTTATGGGACGGCTACTAAGGGGCTAGGAACGTTGTCACGTTATTTGCATTGTGTCGTTTTGAACGTGTGTGTGTGTGCGTTGTCGTTTAGTGGTTGTTAGAGCGGTGTGCGCGTGGTGTGTAGGATGCGTCCTAGTCGACCGACGACGAGCCGCGCCTAGGACTTCAGCCCCCCAAGATGTCGGTTCGTGTGCGGGTCCGATAGGTGTATTACCGTGCGTACCCCCTATGCTACAGCGAACGAGAAATGCCCTCGGCTGGTCCACCTCTGCGATTGCAACCGAGTAGCTTTCGTACTGTGGACTGGTAGCTCGGCGGGGATATGCCCACCGAAGGGAGGTGACAACTCCCGTAAGGTGGAGGTAAGTTGTGCCTCGCGTAGGCCCTATCCTGTCGTAGGGGCTCGCGATAGGTATGGCTGGCGCGCTCGGCCGGAATGGCCTAAGGAAGCTCCTCTTGTGTGTCCGTGACGAGGTTGGTCCAACTCCTGCGTAACGCGGCCGAGAGGGTACTGCGCTGCCGCGTGCGGTGTCGGACCGATGCGCTCGACAGCGGGAGGTGAGGCGACTCCACCTCTCACTCCGCCAGATTCGGCCGCCTTGCTGGCGGCCTCCTACACATCTGGGGAGGATGCGAATGTCGCAAGTCCTTGGTTCACTTACGAGGATTATGATGTCCACTTGGTTCCACCGTTGGAACAACCGCTCCACATGCAACAATCCACCGCATGCACGGTTTCACCACCATCAGCAACCGATTCGGGGACTTCGCCGTCGTCTATCGCTGAGGATTCGGCGTCATGGTCAAGACTTGAAGAGCTTGACCCATTGAAGTTTGCGGACTTCCAATGGATGCCCCTTCCTCCATCCGGTCAATTGCCGAAACCGCATTGCAACGTGCTCATGGCACAATTGCGGGATTACTTGGACACTGCGGTACCAACTCCGTGGATGGACGCCGGAGTAGAGGTAATCAACCTTCACGACTACGTTGAGAAGATCAACCGTGAGTTCAAGACACAACGGTACAACGACATCGACGTGCCATTGTTGTACATACGCATTCAGATCGGAGAGGCGATCTGCAGCGCTTTGATCGATTGTAGAGCTACTCGGAACTACATGAACCAACACTTTATGGTACACGCTGGCCTTGGGCCACAGCTCGGGGGAAATCGCATCCCACGCAAGTCACGTTGGTCGAAGGTCACACGCACAAGTCAATCGACCGACGACCGGTGCATTGATGTCGTCCCCGTGTTCTTTGCCCCACATGCAAGCAATGTCATGTCCTTCGATATTTTGGACACCAAGTTCGACATGATTTTGGGCATGTCATGGCTACGAAGCGAGGATCACCCGCTGAACTTCTACCGCAGCGCCGTTCAAGTTCGTGACCGGAACGGAGTACTAGTCCCATGCACGGTACATCCTCCTCACCCTTCGATCAGCTGCGACGTGGTGTCCACCGCAAGCATTCGAGTTTCCATCATCAGGGATGTCATCGAGGAGACGGGTGTGTTTTTTCCACGCCCTCCCACCCCAAGAATCCCATCGACGGACTCATCACCGGACCCACGTATTCGAAGCCCCACACGGAGTAGTACCGATCGGCCGATCCGCCACGAGATCATCCTCGAGGCCGGGGCCGTACCTCCGTGTGGTTGCATCTACCGAATAAGCGAGGAAGAGTTAAGTGTGGTACGGGCACAACTCGATGACCTTCTTAAGAAAGGTTGGATTCGTCCAAGCTGTTCGCCATACGCTGCCCCCGTTCTCTTCGTTCGGAAGAAGAACAAGGGTTTGCGGTTATGCATCCATTATCGCAAGCTCAACGCACAAACCGTCAAGAACGTCGGCCCTCTTCCACGCATCGACGACCTCCTTGAACGGTTGGGCGGAGCGAAGTTCTTCTCCAAGCTTGACCTCAAATCGGGATATCACCAACTCAAGATCCGCCAGGAGGACCGCTACAAGATCGCGTTTAAGACACGATATGGGCATTTCGAATGGCTGGTTATGCCTTTTGGCCTTACGAATTCTCCGACCACATTCCAAGCGGCTATGACAACGGAGTTCCGAGACATGCTGGATAGATTCGTACTCATCTACCTCGATTACATCTTGGTGTACAGCCGGAGTTTGGTGGAACACCTGCACACCATTTTGGAGAGGCTACGACAAGCTAAGTACAAAGCCAACCACGATAAATGCGAACTCGCGCGGCAAGAGCTAGAGTACTTGGGACATTATGTGACGCCGCAAGGCATTGTTTGCTTGCGGACAAGATCGAGGTCATCCGCGTATGGCCTGAGCCCACCAACACCATGGATGTTCGCTCATTCATGGGGTTGGCGGGTTACTATCAACGCTTCGCACCGATTACTCAAGGATCGCCACACCTATGACGAGATTACAATCGCCAAAGGTGGCATTCGTATTCGATGATGACACACGCCGGTTATTCCAAGCATTCAAGACGGTCATGCTCATGGCACCCGTTCTTAGCATTTACGATCCTACCCTGCCAACAAGAGTGACAACCGACGCTTCCGGCTATGGCACTGGGACAGTCTTGGAACAACACGATGGCGACGACTGGCACCCAATAGAGTATTTCAGCCACAAAGTGTCTCCCATCAATTCACTTGATGATGCAAGGAAGAAGGACCTGCTCACATTCATGATGGCTCTCAAGCGATGGCGGCACTTCCTCCTTGGGCGTCGTAGGTTCACATGGGTCATGGACAACAACCCATTGACCTACTACAAGACGCAAGATACGGTGAGCAGCACGATCGGACGATGGATGTACTTCATCGACCAATTTGACTTCACACCGAAACATCTCGTTGGCCTCTCCAATCGCGCAGCAGATGCACTCTTGCGAAGATCCGATCTTTGCGCTATGACACATGATCATGCCTTCGCGTTCGACGAGGAACTCCAGCGACACTTTATCCGGGGCTATGAGTCGAATCCGGATTTCGCCACGTTGTATGCGCAGCTATCTTCGGATCACTCGTCGGCCAGCCACTATCGCATCGTCGACGGGTACTTGCTCCTCCACTCGAGAGGCAGGGACTTATTATGTGTCCCACGAGACCGTCGTCTTCGGACTCGCTTTCTCGGCGAGTACCATAACTCACGACTCGCCGGCCATTTCGGAGTCAATCGCACTATTGCACGACTTCGGCAACGATTCCGATGGCCCGACCTCATTACCTATGTCACTCGGTATTGCGACTCTTGCGAAGTTTGCCGACGAAGCAAGCCCCGCAACCGCAATCCCTACGGCGAGTTGTGCCCGATGCCTATCCCACGGGAACTCGGCCTCTCCATTGCCATGGACATCACCGGTCCGTTTTCCCACAACCGCCTTGGGCACGACGACATCCTCACGGTCGTTGACCGTTTGAGTAAGTATGAAAGTTTTTTTCCTTCCAAGTACTACACCACGACTCCCGAATTTGCGCGCCTCTTACACACTGGCTGGATTTGCAGCCACGGCGTACCAGAAGACATCATCAACGACCGCGACACTCGCTTCATGTCGACATTTTGGACTTCTCTCATGCACAAATCCGGCACGAAGATGAAACCAAGTTCAGCTCGGCATCCAGAAATGAACGGGCAAACGGAGCGGGCACATCAAACCGCTCAAATGATAATTCATACGCTCATCCGTTAGGATCAGAAGGATTGGGTTGACCTCCTCGCCGACATCGAGTTCGCCTACAACACTTCGTTGCACCTGGCGATCGACGTGACTCCATTCGAGTTGCACCATGGTGGTCGAAAAGGCCGTATCTTTGCTGATTTTCTCCTCCCACGAACAGCCGAGATAGACGCTGCTTGCTCTGCCGCCTCCGTCCGGAAGTACAGGGAATTGATGGCTCAAGCCCGCGCGAACATGCAAAAGGCTCAAGGTCGCATGCAGCAGCAAGCCAACAGGCGTCACGTGCCATGCCCCATTCACGCCTGTGATCTGGTGTGGGTCTCTGCGGAAGAGTTTGCGATCGAGCAGGATCTTTCACGCAAACTGCTTCCCAAGTGGTTCGGACCATGGCCCATAACATCAGCCGCGGGCGATGAGCCCGATGGCCCCTCATTTGTGATCAACACCCCCTCGCATCTGACGGTCCATCCAGTCTTTAACTCCTCGAAGTTGGCGACATATACACCAGCTAAGAGCGACGACTTCTCCGGCCGACGATCGCAAGATCCTCCATCTATGGATGGTCATCAGAAAGTTGACCGAATCATCACGGATCGAAAGTACGGCAGCAGGCCTCGACAGTACAAGGTCACATTCAAAGCATGCGATCCCGGTGACACTCGATGGATTTGAGGAGCAGATTTGAAAACATCCGCACCGCTGATCTACGCTCACTATGAGCGACAACGGTTAGTTAAGGGAACTTCACGACCTGCCCCTCCCACCCGAACTGTGGTCCCTCCCTCAGACGGACAGCTTCGCCCTCGCGAGTAAGCTCGGTCTTTCAAGGAGGGGGGGTTGTGGCACACTGCGCAGCCACACGGGCCTGCAGGGCCCGACCAGCAGTCTCAGCCTAAAGGCCTGACAACAAGGGCTTACAACCCCTGTTTCGTTTCAGCCTGAAAGCCTGAAAACGAGGGTCTTTAGGCCCTATGTCGTTTCAGGCTAAAACAGGGTCTTTCAGGCCCTGAGTCTTTTCAGCCTGAAACGGCGGGCCATTTTCGGGCCCTCATAAGATCGACCTGCCCTAACACTCAGGCACCAAACCAGGGTTTTAGGAACAGGATATTTTGGCATGTTCCTAGGACAGCCTCACCAGAAGCTGCAGCGCCAGACCCTGGCTCATCTTGGCATTGGCAAGAGCAGCCTCCTGGCCCTCCTCGACTGCCCCGCCCTGCAACTGCAAGCAGTCGGAGGCAGTCATGAGGCAGGCCGAGGTAGTACATTGGGAGTTCTCATGCACTTCACGGGCAGACAGAAGGCAGTGAGTAGTCTTCAGGATTTGGCGGCAGCACTTTGGAGGTGCGTTGCAGGAGTAGCTTTAGCGTAGCAGTAGTCCTCAGCGTTGGGCGCTAGTAGCTGTAGTGGTAGTCTTCAGCGCTGGGCGCTGGTAGGAGTAGAGTAGTGTTGGAGAGGGAGATGGTTGGTGGAGGCCAGGGAGACTTAGCAGTGGCGCCATAGCTCCAGCTTCATCTTCGAGGTACCTGCATCAAGGCGCCAACTTCACCGGTTATTACCGGAGAGAGAGAGAGAGAGAGAGATAGATAGATAGATAGA